CCCCGTGTTGAGATTGCGCTGGAACCCCCATTCCCTATACTACTTATGAGCCAATCACGCGCGGTAATTCTGAGCCGACAATACGGGTCTATATTGGCGGCTCTCTCTCGATCAAACTTATAGGAGGGTCGCGATACTATAATCTATCGATATTTTTTAATGAATCATCATTTTTTTTTTAAAGAAAGATTAAAGGAGATCATATACTCTTCGAACCCCAAAGACCAAACCCTGGAATGTGTGTAGAAAACTATTTATTTTGCTTCTTCTTGAATTACGGCGGACGTCGAACAAAACGATGACCCACCGTTTTCCCGCCCTACCTAATACGCGCCATGCCGTGGGTGGTAAATAGCAATTGTCCTCAAGCGAATCTCGAAGAAAGCGAAGAGAATTCCAAAACGAGCAGCGCATTAAACCTCTATTGACACGAAGGAAAAGTAGACTTAATAACAACGACACCAATAACAACAGCAACTTTATTTGTACCACGCCTACAACTATTTACAACTTATATGTTATCGGAAAAACGAAAATCAAATATTACCATAAAATGAATAAATCAGGCGAGCAGTTACTCTAAATCATATTGCATGAAATAAGTTGACTTTAAGCGCAGGCCTTAGCTTGTCTTGTTGAGATTTTATTTATTTATGATTATTACTGTTATTCTTATTATTATTATTATTATTTTGGTATGCTCTACATCCATTCTAGATGACTGTTATTTAGTATAGTGCAGTTTTCGTATGACTGTGAAAAGCTCAGTGCCGTAAGCGTGAGGTGCCGTGACCGTGATGCTTTCTAGAATTTTAATTGGCTGCTTTTTTCACGCGCAATATGATTGGTCTGGCATTGCCGTGACCTTGTAGTGTCCGTGTCCGCGCCGTGTTTATGCCGTGTTCCGGGTATTTGATTGGATGGAGAGTAAATTTTCGTGCAATGTGATTGGTCTGGCGTATCCCTTGCCGTGTCATGGCCGTGTTCGTGCCGTGAATTTTTCACAGTCATACGAAAACTGCACTATACCAATACGGTAACCTACAAATTTTGGTCTATTATCTTGGAATATTTAAAGACATTCACAGTAATTGTTAAATATCCGCCCTCGGGTTTTTGCTCTATGGGACAAACCCTGCGAAAGGCAATAAATTGGTTAATTATAGTCTTTCATCATTCCTAAGCCCGTATTCTTACACATAGTAAATATACAAATGACAGCATGTTTTACCGTAACTGCTACGTTCGCCCCGATTGTGCAGATCTCTAGTAAACCAGACCCTGAGTTTATCATCCTTCTTTAGTGGCAAAGGAGGATCAGAAATAGGAAACATCAATTCGGGACTAGACACAGTTATGTTGTCAATGGTGAAATAATATTTGTAATATCTGGGATAGCCAGGATAAGGTGCAATTAGATCATTATTCTCGTCAGTAATTACAAAATAAAGATAAGGCGGATAATATGTACTATCTCCCCAGTTTTGGACCGTTTTTTGGCTAAACGGGGAAACTCCCCCCGAGAGATGAACGAGCTTGAACTGTTTCACTTTTACATCAAAGGGAACAATAACCGTCCCATATTCGTCGTTTTTTACTCCAACGCACACAGGATCTATGTTTATTTTGATCCATGACACCTTTTCTAAAGAAGAAAAAAATCAACCATTATATGCCCAAATGAAATTAGTCTCATACCAAAACCAACTTTAACTTAAGAAAGAGAGTTGGTTAACTGTAAAGAACATATTACTATGTAATTAGTCCAATTCTATGACTCCTTTTTTTGGAATTTTGTAATAGACCCTTTTCGAGTTCCAAATTACCGCTGTGTTCAATGATTACAAACTCATTTGCTCAGACTAAACTTCGAACCGTGTGTAATTACTCGCAAATACCAACGGTAAAGCAAAGTATGCACAAGTTCAATAATACGAACACTTTGAAACTCGACGGACCTTGACTGGAACACGTGAATATTCTTCACAAAATCGAGGCTAAGCCTGAGTAAATGAGTCTATAATCAAGAAACACAGCGGTAATTTGGAACTCGAAAAGGGTCTATTTGTTCCATATTTGTCAAAAGTAGAGCCTCGTCGTTAAAATTACGAGGGTCTTTTCAAAGTTCAACACTAAATGAATGGACGAACAGAAGGATAGATTATGGATGGATGGATGGATGAAAGGGTAGAAATTAAACGGATAGATGGATAGATGGAAGAAAAAAGGGATGGATTGGATGAACAATCAAATTACTTTAGTATTCTACAAGTACTATGTCATAACTTGGAAACATATAAGGAAAGAAATAGTAATGAATGAATGAAACAAAGAACGAATGGATGGATGGATGGATGGATGGATGGA